GATGCATAATGATATGATGATGCTTATGATGATGTTGATGATGATGGTGATGGCGACGATGCTGATGGTGATGATGGTGGTGATAGTGATTGTGATGATGACGATGCTGCTTCTGCTGCTGCTGATGATGATCGTGTTGATGACGATGATGATGCTGAGGAGGACCATGCTAATGATGACGATGATGATATCGATGACCATGATGATGATGCGGATAATGATGATGCTGATGATTATGCTTATGATGATGCTGATGATGACGATGATGATGCTCATGATGATGCTGATGATGATGCTGATTATTTTCATTACTACCAGTTTTTCTTGTCACCAACATTCATTCATCCTTGTTATTACCATTTTTAAAACTTAATTTTCGGATGAAGCTGATGATGATAATGATGATGATGCTTCTCATGATGATGACGATGAAGATGATGATGCTGATGCTGAATATCATGATGATGACTATGATGATGCCGATGCTGATGATGATGCTGGTGATGCTACTGCTTATGCTGATGATCTTGATGATGTTGTTGATGATCATGACGATGATGGTGCTGATGGTGCTGGTGATGGTGTGGGTGATGGTCATGGTGATGATATGATGATGCTGATGCGGATGACGATGATGATGATGATGATGATGATGATGATGATGATGATGATGATGATGATGACGATGACGATGATTCTGATGGTGATGGTGACGGTCATGATGATACGGATGATGATGATGCTGCTGATGATGATGATCACGGGGATCATGATGATGATGATGATGATGATGATGATGATGATGGTGACTCTGATGCTGATGATGACAACCATTCTGATGAAGATGATGTTCATGATGATGCTAATGCTAATGATGATGGTGGCGGTGTCGACGATGATTCTCATGATGATGCTGATGCTGATGGTGATGATACTGATAATGATACTGATGATGCTGATGCTGCTGATGATTCTGGTGGTGCTAATGCTGATGATGATGCTGCTGATCATGATCATGATGATGATGATGATGATGATGATGATGATGATGATGATGATGATGATGATGATGATGATGATGATGGGGATGGTGGTGACGATGGTGATGATGCTGATGTTGTTGTTGCGGATGATGGTGCCGATGCTTATGATCAGTAGTGCTGATGATGCTGCTGCTGGTGATGCTGATGCTCGTAAAGGTGATGATCCTGATGATGCTGATAATGTTCATGATGACGGTCCTGATGGTGACAGTGATGCGGATGATGATGATGATGATGATGATGATGATGATGATGATGATGATGATGGTGATGTTGTTGATGATGATGATGATGGTGATGGGGATGATGATGATGATGATGATGCTGATGACGATGGTGCCGCCGATGCTGATGATGACGATGTTGACGATTCTGATGGTGATGATGCTGATGAGGATGGTGATGCTGATAATGATGCTGATGATTGTGATGGTGATGATGATGATGCTGCTGATGATGATGATGCTGATGATGATGATGATGATGATGACGATGATGATTCTGATGATGATGGCGATGCTGCTGACGATGATGATGATGCTGATGATGATGCTGATGATGATGCTGATGCTGATGATGACGATGATGGTGATTATGATGATGATGGCGGTGCTGCTGACGATGATGATAATGATGATGACGATGATGATGATGATGATGATGAGGAGGAGGAGGATAATGCTGATGATGATGCTGATGCTGATGCTGATGCTGATGCTGATGCTGATGATGATGATGATGATGATGATGATGATGATGATGATGATGATGATGATGATGATGATGATGATGATGATGATTATGATGCTGCTGCTGCTGATGATGCTCATGCGGATGCTCGAATTGCACGCCCATTAGGCGAGGGGCTTACGAGGAAGGGTGTCATGCAGCATCGTCGATGTATCTTTGGCTTGCTCTTGGCCTCCTCCTGCCCCCCTAAGGAGCAGTAAGGGTGAGGCCTCATCCTCAGTGCATTGGGCCGGCGGGATGGATACACTCTGTTCTTCTCACGCGTGTTGCAGGAAAGTTCATTCTCCTTAAGCTTTCTTCCATGCATGTCACTTGCCCGTTGACACCTTAGTGCCAGTCTCCGTGTCCTCACCCGCCGGAGGCTGGCTGGGTGCACTGGGTCCCTGGAGGCCCGCTGAGGGCCCCGCACTGTTCTTAATCTATCGCGCTAAGGGTTCATATAACAGTAGGGCATCATATGTTTTGATTGGTATGGATTCTTGTCATGGTAGTATAATGCTTTGTAGGCGAATTCGCCCACCTTCTAGATTAAGGTGTATTTGACATTTATGGTTTAGGTGTAGTATTACAGACTACGTTAGTGCATATCATACGATGTTCTATTGATCACTATCCTTCAACTCTGTAGCATGGGTGTACGTCAGATGCATGTGAATCGGGTAGCTGTACCTATCTGGTTCGTGTTAGGTATACTTCTGGGCCTGGTTTTTACTAGATTATATGCTTCTTAGTATTTGGTGGGTAAGAGTTGTATCTGCGCTACTATGCTCTTACGTATGGAAGAGTCTTTTATGTGACAAAGCCTCAAACGCACTTCATATTCTTACATGTTATGGTGTTTAATTCGGTTGTGCATGTTTGGTGATTGCGGTGTGCGGAAGAGTACCCGCAGTATCTATGAGGCGTACATCGGTATGCTTGTCAGTTCGAATGTTAGTATGGTGTGATGTAATCTAGGTTATCAGGATCATTGTATCTATACGAATCGTAGTTCTGTGCGAGTGCAGAGTTCACCTGTGTGACAGTATATGGAGTCATAGCTTTAGATTGAAGAATACATATACATATATATATATATATATATGCATTCTGTGCATGTATGTATGTCTGTCTGTGTGCATGTATGTATGCATGCATGCATGTATGTATGTATGTAAATATGTTTATATACATTTATACATGTATATATGTTATGCTTAGTCATCCGCAGCTGCGGTCAGGAATTCTGGCTCAGAGTGCCGCGCCGCCTGTTCTCACCATACTTCTCCGCGACACGCTAACCGCATCGCAGTCCCCAAGCGTCAATGTCCCGAGCCTTTCCTGGCCTCCCGCCACGCGGAGCGCAGCGGCACGCCACGACTTTGCAGGGCATGGCGTGTCGCCAGGGCCGCCGTCGCTTTCCGGCCGTACGGACAGGAATGAGGGTGCGCGCGAGCGTGCGTGAGGAAGGGGGAGATCACGCTCCCTCGCCCAGAACTCGGTGGGGCTTGATACACACCACGTTGTTTGGTCTGCCAAGGAGCCACTGGATTCGGCGAAGGATCTCAACGTATAGGCACTCCAGCATCCCACAAGTTGGGTAGCTGGGGGCGTCGCCGCCCTCTTCCTCCTTCTCCCCATCGTCCTCGTTATGCCCTTGTCCTGCTCCTCGTCCTCCTCCTTCTAGCCCTGGTCGTCGCCTTCTTCCTCGCCCCCCCCTGGGCGAGGAAAGAAAAAGGGTTCGACGGCGCCGACATTCGCGCGTAAGCTTCCCGCGTAAGGCCGCGCGTGAGCGCCCGCGTTTCCAATGTGGCGTGCCGCGCTGTCGGCCCGCGTAAGCTGCTGCGTAAGGTCGCTATGCCATCTCGCATAAGACCCCTTCCTTTTCGTCGCCCACCTGTGCTCGTCGGAGTCCTCCGCTCCGCCATCCCGCTCCGCAGCCCTCTCACGGATCAGCACAGGACCCCGAGCCCGGCGGGTGCGGAGACTATAGGCAAGCGGCCTCGTCAGCTGCCGGCTGCGCGCGCGAGCGACCCCTCGCTGGAGTGACCTCTGGTGCGCGGCCTTCGGGTCGAGGGTTGCTGAAGGTGCCCCTGGCTCAAGGTGCCCCCAGCTCTTCGCTCAATGGTGAAGCCCCTGGGGCCCTCTGGGCCTCGCGAGGGGTGCTCTGGGGGCCGTGGGGGCCTCCCTGGAAATCCTGGGGGCACCTTGGGCCAGGGGCACTTCTGGCAACACCCGATCGGGGGGCGCGAAGGGGCGCCGCAGTTTTTTCGCACCAGGCGTTTTCGCCCCGCGTCGGGCTCCCCCCCGGGGCCCTCACGGGACAGAACCGGCCCGAGAGGTGCTGCAGGGGGCCAGGCTGAGGCACGCGGGCAGCCACTGCCTCGCTCGCACGCGGCGGGATCGGCAGGCCTGGCGCCAGAGGCCCCTCTTGGCCCCCAGCCTTGTGACTTTCCTCAGGGCGGAGCCCCCAGAAGCCTGGACCCTCTCCCCAAGGGCCAGCTTTTTCATCCCGGGGGGGCCCTGCGAGGGCCCCCAGAGGCCGAAGCCAGCGAACAAAAATCCCGTGTGTTTTTTTCAAGACGCGAGAATGTCTAACCCTCTAGGTTTTCGGGTCTTAACTTGGGTCTCCAGCGGCCGTTCGGGACGACCTGGGCACCCTGGGAACGCTCTCGGCTGCGCGCAGCCGCTGGAGAGCATCCCGAGGCTGGAGAACCGCCGAACCTCGAACCGAGATCCCCGACGTCGCGTTTTTCTGTCATAACGCCGAGCCCCACAGGTCTCGACCCATTCCCTGAGATGGTTTTTTCGTGCAAATTCGTGCTTTGACGGCCCCAGGGCCCGGTGACTGCCCCCAGAGGCCGAACCTGCCGTCGTGCCTTTTTTATCACTCGAGGGGGTTCTGGGAATCTCGAATCGAAGAACGAAGAAGGCATAGACATAAACTTTTGGCGCTCCGCGCAGAGTTCTTGGATCCGCGCTGGGGCCCCCGGCGGCGCCTCCGGCGCCGCCCCTGGCGCGCTCCGCGCGCCAGGGAGGGAGTCCAGCGCAGATCCACGCAATCCGCGCGGAGCGCCGAAAGTTTATGTTTCCGTCGCTTGCTCGTCTTCTAGAGGGGGTCTGGGGATCTCGCAGCTCGACCCGTGACGCTGGACCATCTGGGCAGCGGGCCGCTCCCGGCGTGCAGCCTGCCGCCCGCGAGGCCTGCACAGAGCCGCCGGCGCCGAGATGCTGTCCAGGCTCGCGAGGCCCGCGGAGGCCACTGGCGCCACCCAGACGCACGGGCCCTCGAAGAAGAAGAAGAAGAAGAAGAAGAAGAAGAAGAAGAAGAAGACGAGACGGCATAAACTTAAACTTTTGGCGCTCCACGCGGATTTCTTGGATCCGCGCTGGCCCCCCCCCCAGCGGCGCCTCCGGCGCCGCCCTTGGCGCGCGGAGCGCGCCAGGGCGGGGGGTCCAGCGCGGATTCAAGAAGTCCGCGCGGAGCGCCAGAAGTTTCATGTTTATCCTGCTTTTCTTCTTCGAGACATGCGATGACCTGATTTATTCAGTACGGGCTCTCTGGAGTCCCGACCCCTTCCCCAGGGCTGGTTTTTCGTTCGTCCCGAGGCGTTTTTGGATGTCCTGGGGCTGGGGCCCGGTAAGGGCACCAGAGGCCGAAAATTGTGAAAAGCCTTTGTCCTGTGTTTCTCCAGGACGTTGCAGCCTGGGTACGGTAGGTTCGCGTCGTGTCGACCAGCGGCGATCCCGCCGTCTGCGTTCAACGCTGAACGCCGCCAGCGACCCAAAGTCGGTCGATGTTGAACGATCTGACGTTTCGGAAACGGCCGATCGTACAAGGTTGAAGGATCCCCGCGGTGTCAGAAAACAACGCTGAAGTCGGCAGGACACGAACCCGCCGTACCACTACTATGTACGTGTGTATGTGTGTCGCCCTCAAGGGAGCGACGCGCGCGCTCAGACATCTTCTGGTGTATGCTCCGTGGCGGGCGCTGACCGGTCACACCGCTCGGGAGGCGATATACTGCAAGATGGCTGTACGCCGTTCGGGTCGGACGCACGCCTCCAAGGAGGACACATAGCCCAGACCTCCGAGGCCATGTTTTTTGTTGTTGGTTTTGTTTGTCGTAACGTCGGCCTCCAGAGGTCTCGACGCATTCCCAGGGACCGATTTTTCATCCATGTAGTCGTTTTTTTGTCGGCCCCGAGGCCCGGCGAGGGCCCCCAGAGGCCAGAGATTGCGAAGGACCTTCCGTCGTGGTTTTCTCATGACTCGAGGGGTTCTGGGAGTACTGGCATGTCCTTGTGTCGGCGTCACCCTTACATGCTAATACTATGTGTGCGTCGCCCCCCCAGGGGCGACGCGCGCACCGAGAAATCTTACAGGATCTGCGTTGTGGCGGGCGCTTTCTGGCCATACCGCTCTATACTAAAAGATCTGTGTACTATGTACTACATGTTCGGGTGGGATGCACGCCTCCAAGCACGCCTCCAAGGAGGACGCATAGCCCAGACCTTCGATTTTATGTTTTCTTCCACAACGTCGACCTGCAGAGGTCTCGACCCATTCCCCAGGACAGATTTTTCATCCATATATTTGTTTTGCTGTCGGCCCCGAGGCCCGGCGAGGGCCCCCAGAGGCCGAAGACTACGAAAGACATTCCGTCGTGTTTCTTTGATGACTCGAGGGGCTCCGGGAGCTGGACCCCCCTCCCTGGCGCGCGGACCGCGCCAGGGGCGGGGGCTCCCAGCGCGGATCCAAGAAATCCGCGCGGAGCGCCAACAGTTTATGTTGTTGGCGCTTTTTCTTCGATCGATCGATCCTCGATCTTTCGATCCTCCCCCCCCCCTCGATCCTCCCCCTCGATCTGTCGATCCTCCTCGATCCTCTCCCCTTGATCCTCCTCCCCTCGATCCTCCCCCCTCGATCTCTCGATCCTACCCCCCCCCCTCGTGGGTCGACCCGCCTGCAGCCGCCGTGCATGTCCCTTGTGCGCCCCAGGCCACCTCCTCCGGGCTCGCCGCCCGCGCCCTGGCCGGGCGGGGCGCGCGGGCCGCTCCGGCGGCGGGCAGGGCGGGGGCGCTCGGGCGGAGCTCGCGCCTGTTCGGGTCGTCGCCTCGGAGCAAAGCCCAGACGACGACGACGACGACGACGACGACGACGACGACGACGACGACGACGACGACGACGACGACGACGGCGACGACGACGGCGGCGGCGGCGGCGGCGGCGACGACGACGATGACGGCGGCGGCGGCGGCGGCGGCGACGACGACGGACGACGGACGACGGACGACGGACGACGACGACGGACGACGGACGACGGACGACGGACGACGGACGACGGACGACGGACGACGGACGACGGACGACGGACGACGGACGACGGACGACGGACGACGGACGACGGACGACAGACGACAGAGGACAGAGGACAGAGGACAGACGACGACGACGACGACGACGACGACGACGACGACGACGACGACGTCGACGTCGACGACGACGACGACGACGACGACGACGACGACGACGACGGCGACGACGACTGCTTCCTGGGCCTCCCAAGCCAGGGCTCATTTCGATGCCTCCGATTCGATTCGACTTCGGAATCCGATGGCCTCCGATTCCGATTCGGTTCGACTTGGGATTCCGATGTGGGCTGCGATTTCTCAATGGAGGCCTACTAGCTACTAGCCTGCCGATTTCCGCCGATTCGACTTTTTCCGACTCGGCTGCCGATCTTCCCCGATCCGATATATATTTCGATTGCCGATCCGACTTATCGATTCGATTCGCGGCTTTCCTGCCCAAGCTCACACCCCCTCGAGTCATGAAAGCATGCGACAGAGGGCTTTCGCTATTTTTAGCTTCAGGGGGCCTAGAAACCGTGTCTCGGGACCGTCAAAAGCGACTCAGGATGGAAAACCGGTCGAGACCTCTGAGCGTCGACGTTGTGAACAATCATGACCTCGGGGGTCTGGGAATGGGTCTGTTTTTTTTGTATCCGCTGGCGATAACGGGCGTGACCTGGGGGGGGTAGGAGGGGGGGGGGGAAGGGGGCCGGCCACGTCACGATATCCGCGCTGGCGCCGTTTTGGGAACGCCTGCAAGGATCTAGCCAGCTCCCCGACGGCGCTGGCGCGAGCCGTGACGTGACCAGGGTGGGGGCAACGATAGGGGGGGATAGGCATAGGAGGGGACGCATCACCCCCCAATCGCCCAACCTGCCCAGGAATGTGCGGATTCACAATCGGAGGCCTGTCGCCGATCTATCGGCGATGCATCACCGACTCCAGGTCGATGTGTCCCCCCTATGCCAGTTCCCGCCTGTCGTTGCCCCTCAAAAGCGGGGGGGGGGGATGGCGGGGCCGGGAACGGGCGTTTCAATAGTGGAAAATGGGCCAGGGCGAGGGAGCTCCTGCAGAGCTCGCGCCTCTTCGGGTTGTCGCCGCGGAGCCTTCCAAAGGGGGTCCGAGTGGATGGGGTCGAAGGATCGCTCCGCATCGCTCGATTTGGAGCCAGAACTTCTCCACGCCGATGGCGCCGATTTATCACGGACGTTGCCGATGCATCGGCGAAACATTGGCGATGCGGCACGATCCTCCGACCCCACTATTTGGCCCATCTAGGAGGCCTCTAGACTTGCTCGCGTTGTGAAAAAAATCACGGCGGGAGGTTTTCGGCAGTTCTCGTTCTCTCGTGGCCCTCGCCAGGCCTTGGGACCGTCAGGAACAGCGCGGGATGAAACACCGGCCCTGGGGAACAATCGGAACTTCTGGGGGCACCGTATTGAAAAAATCAAGACGTCGGATGTTGGGGGACGGATTTTGAGGGCAATGGGTCCTGAGATTTTTTGCAGTCTTCGGCCTCCCAGGTCCCTGCTCCGAGCCCCGAGAGCGGCTCAGGATGAAGAGCTGCTCCCGGGGGGAAGGCCCCGGGGCCCAAGACCCGTTTCCCTTCACGGCAAGGTCGGCCGTGACCCGGAGCAGCGCCGGGGTCCACATCCCGATGCCCGTGGCCACCGGCGAGCAGGCCACGGGGAAGGACTTGTTCGATCCCACCGACACGTTCGCGCCCAGGCACCTCGGCCCGTCCCCGCAGGATGTGAGGGACATGTGCAAGACCATTGGCGTGAAGGATTTGGACGAGCTGATCCTGCAGACCATCCCCGCCGCCGTGCGCTCCAAGGAGGCGCTCAAGCTTACCGACGGCAAGCTGGGGGAGGCCGGATCGCTGGCGCTCCTCAAGTCCATTCTGTCGAAGAACGTCGTCGCGACGAACTTCATCGGCATGGGCTACCACGGCACCCACGTGCCGCAGTGCATCCAGCGCAATCTGCTCGAGAATCCTGGCTGGTACACCGCGTACACGCCCTACCAGGCAGAGATCTCCCAGGGGCGCATGGAGTCGCTGATCAACTTCCAGACGCTGGTGTGCGAGCTCACAGGCATGGAAGTGGCAAACTCGTCTCTGTTGGACGAGGCCACCGCGGCGGCCGAGGCCATGGCCATGATCTCGAGGACGGTGAACTCCAAGGCGAAGAACCAGTTCTTCGTAAGCAAGGACGGGCGGCCCGGGTCCTCAAGCTCCACGATTCGACGGGACGGGTCGCTGGGCTGGAGTTGAGTTGTGCACGGTTTCTGGACTTTTGGATTGGTCACGCGCGCGCCTCGTGAGGGCACGAGGTCCAGGCAAAGGAAAAAGTGGTACCGACAACGACGACGGTGGCGGACGACGACGGCGGGACGAGGACGACAGACGAACGCAGCGACGCGACGCGACCACGACGACGACGACGACGACGACGACGACGACGACGACGACGACGACGACGACGACGACGACGACGACGACGACGACGACGACGACGACGACGACGACGACGACGACGACGACGACGACGGCGACGACGACGACGACGACGACGACGACGACGACGACATTGAGCTGTGCATGGGGAAGAATGAAGGATGATGAGGATAATTCGGTGTCATGGGTCGGGGGCCGGGGGGCCTCCTTGCAGCTGCCCCGAGGACGTGCACCCCCAGACGATCGAGGTGCTGCAGACGCGCGCGCGCTACTTCGGCATGGAGCTGGTCGTCGGGGACCACGAGAACACGGACTTCGCCTCGATGACCAAGCTGTGCGGAGGCCTGGTGCAGTACCCGGACACCAAGGGCGTGCTGAAGGACTACACCGCGGTCGGTGACGCCCTGCACAAGAACGGCGCGCACCTCGTCGTGGCCGCCGACCCGCTGGCGCTCGTGGCCGCGAAGCCCCCGAGCGAGTTCGGCGCCGATGTGGTGGTCGGCAGCATGCAGCGCTTCGGCGTGCCCATGTGGTTCGGCGGGCCCTCGGCGGCCTACCTGGCCACCAGCAAGAAGCAGGTGCGCAGGATGCCTGGCCGCATCATCGGCGAGTCCATTGACCGCCTCGGCAACCCCGCGTACAGGCTCACGCTGCAGACCCGCGAGCAGCACATCCGGCTGGACAAGGCGACGTCCAATGTCTGCACGGCCCAGGTGCTGCTGGCCAACATGGCGGGCATGTACGCCGTGTACAACCGGTCCGACGGCCTGCAGGCCATCGCCAAGCGCGTCCACGCGATGGCGCAGCTATTCGCCAAGGAGGTCGCGAAGGCCGGCATCCCGATCCTGGCCACCGAGAACTTCTTCGACGTGGTGACCTTCACCGTGAAGGACGCCGCGTCCCTCGTTGAGAAGCTGCAGGGGCAGCGGCTGAACCTCCGGCAGGCGTCATGGGCAGCGAACGCCATGGGGGGCCCGGTGAGGCGCGGACCCCTTCCTCTTCAGAGTGCTCATCCGCTCTGGCGCGTCCCCCCCGAGGATGAGGAGCCAGAGGGGTGTGGCCAAGAAGCAAGCGGGTCCTGAGGTTTGTCGCCGTCCTCGGGCTCGCGGGGCCTCCCCGGGCCCCGGGGCCGTCAGACAAGTGTGCAGTACGAGGGCTGGTCCTGGGGGAAGGCCCCAGCGTCCAGAGCCCGTTTCCCTTAGGATCCGTCTTTTCATGCCAGAGGGGGAGGAGGAGGGATGTGAGAAGGAGAAGAGATGGGGGGAGGAGGAGGGGGACGAGGAGGGAGAGGGGGCGGGGGCGGGGGGCCAAGAGGAGGAGGAGGAGGAGGAGGAGGAGGAGGAGGAGGAGGAGGAGGAGGAGGAGGAGGAGGAGGAGGAGGAGGAGGAGGAGGAGGAGGAGGAGGAGGAGGAGGAGGAGGAGGAGGAGGAGGCGGAGGATGAGGAGGAGGAGGAGGATGAGGATGAGGAGGAGGAGGATACGGAGTCTCAGTCGGAATTGGCCCCATCGCGAAGCGAAGAGTGACAAGGTTCAAGGATCCACCCTGATCCTTTGGCCGTTTCCTTTCATGAAACCTGTCAGTGTAGATTCTACGTGTGTTGGTGATTGGCTGATTACATCGTTTAGCTCAGGCAGGCCTCAGCTTCTGAATAGCGAAGGACCCACAGGCCTCACGTAGCCAACACCTCAGGGAAACATGAAACACCATATCGTGGGAATCGTGGACCCAGCCCTCATGACAGAGTCAACAGAGACAGGCGAGACGCATGGGCTCCTGCGCCACAAAGTGGCAGCGTCGGCAGAGTCACAACTGAATTATCGCTGGCATCGCCTGGACGTCTCGCCCAGCACATGTGCCGACTCGAAGACCGAGAGCGTGCTAGGACAGGGGGGAGGAGATGGTTGGTCCTGTCTTGAGCTCGTAGGGCGAGGCCTGGGCGGAGCCGCTGTGATCGCCTCCAGTGTGGAGCGAAGAAGACGCCTGCGGACGAGGGCTGCATCCTTTGCCACTCGCGCGATCCTAGCAAGAGCTTCCTGATCTATCCTGTCGTCGGCAGCTGCCAACCTTGCAAATTCGTCAGCCACTTGATTTCCCACGAACACCCATGCTTGGCGAGAAGAGGAAACCACGAGGTGAGCTTCGAGGTGAGAGGGAACCTGCACATTGGTAACGCGTGACGCATCACTCGCCCCTCGAGAGCAGCACCTATGAGCTTACAGACCGCCTGATGGGGCCCCTGTCTGGGCCAAGTAAAGCTTAGCCAACCTCCCGTTGATCACGGCACTGTTGCCCGCGGCATAGACGAGAGTCCCACTGGAGTACCTGATTGGAGGTCAAGAGGCCCCAGAGCTCCCATACGCCGCACCGCCTGCACAGCTCCGGGCAGACGTCCGAGCACAGCGGCGGACACCTTCGGACCATCGTAGTTGTCCGAAGTGCACGCTGCAGCACCTGCTCGGCGGGCGCAGAGCAGGATCACGGCTATCTTCGCCTCCGCTCGTGCCTCCGAGAACTACCAGAGGGTGTGCGGGAGACCCGTGAGCTGAAGCAGCATCGCGAGGAACGTCCCCGCTTTCAAGAAACAATTTCCAGTCGGCACTTAAAAGGGGGATTCAGAACCTTGGTCTATGAAGCTGGTATGATCCCAAGGAGCCAGAGGCAGGTCTCAGGGTCCTGACCTGAGGCAGCCCTAGGCACCAAGTGTTCCGACTCCCTGTGTATGGCCTTGCCTGTGTTACACGTGTACAACCAGCCACGGTGTAGGGGTGTCCCAGGGCTTTCGCCACACCTCTGACACGTATCACCTACTGCAACGCTAGTCTCGTTCTTGACCCTTGAGCGGGGCCCCATGTGCCACCGACAGCGATGGTCAAAAGAGTCTCAGACGGACGCGCACCGTGCCTCGGCACCTCGACGAGAGACTTCAAAACATGCCTGTAGGAATGTTTGTCGGCACCCCGCTGCAAACCTTCCCCGCCGAAGTGCTTGCTGGCCGCGGTCCAAAGCTTAGCCCGAACCCCCTCTCCTCCTCCTCCTCCTCCTCCTCCTCCTCCTCCTCCTCCTCCTCCTCTGAATGATCTAAGTGTTATCGTCAGACGTCGATGCGACCTCATCGGGGAAAGACCAGGTACCGCCGAACCCTCCGTCATTGAGTGGGGGTCTGTCGGTATGAAGGGGAGACTGGGTTCCAGCTAAGCTCAAGAAGACAGGCCACTACAACAGAGACTGGGCCTCGAACAGCCTGAGCGACTTGCCGAGGGGCAAGGTCGCGACACTGTGAAGCGACTCGCGGTCACGCCGCACGCATTGCTGGTCGAATAGTTGGCTCCTGCATCCACGTGCGAAGCCATGGCTGGATGCACGCCCGAGGAAGTTTGTACCCTGGATCGTGACCATCTGCCCCGAGGTTGAGCACCGTGGTACGATCTTTCCCCCGTGTGGCTGACGATAGGGTGTGCCCACGACCACGCCTCCACTGAACCTGAAACTCTCCGACCGCTCCATACACCTGATGCCCGTAAGTGCCAGCTGTTTGGGCTCCAGCATGCTCGATCATACCCGTGCGCATCTATTTCAGTGACGCACGCGCACTGTTGAAATGCGCTGATTCATGGATTTGGCTTTCTGGATCCGCTCAGTGCGAGTCGCTCTGGCCACGCGGCCTGCTCCGAGGCCCGCTCCGAGCAGACCTGCTTGCAGACCATGTCGAACCTTAAACCCCCCCGACGGCGTGACCGACTGACGATGACCTTGCCGTCGGGAATGCGAGATCACATAATGACGCTCTTATCCGAACTGGGGGTCCGTGCTGCTGCAGCGCCTCGCAAGTGGCCACGGCTCCGCGGTGCAACTTCTGACAGACCGTCTTCCCAGATCCAGCCGTGTGCTGCGTGAGGTCATCGACCCAACGGCGCAACAACATGTCGGTCCGAGCCGTCGTGAGTTTCTGTAACATGCAAGAAGGAGGAGGAACAGGAGGAGTAGGAGGAGGAGGAGATCAGGAGGAGGAGGAGGAGATCACGAGGATGATGAGGAGATCAGGAGGAGGAGGAGGAGGGGGAGGAGGAGGAGGAGGAGGAAGAGGGCCCGACGCGCGTGGGATGATGCTCTGAGAGGCCTGAAGAGCCTCGGAGTAAGAACCCGATTGGGCAAGCGTGCGGTGGTAAAACACACCTGGGGCTCCAAGAAGAGGACCACACGGGGGGAGCCCAAACGACGCGCTGAACTGGCTAGATGGCCCCACTGCATCTGGTCATAGAACTCCTTGATGTCGATCAGGCCCTCCCCGAAGGAAATACCCAACCTATAGGGCGCGAAAAAAAGGCTTCGCAGAGCGCGGAGTTGCCCGCGACGGCCGCGTCCCAGACTGGCTCGGAGTCCTGGAACCAATAACGAACGCTGTCCTCATGGGCAAGGGACCAAGTCCCAGAGAACATAGACATCATCCCAATCGCCCCGTCCCCCCCGATTTCGCCCCCACAAGCCTCCCCACCACTGAGAGAGTTTGCCGCGGCCAAGACAAGCACTCTTCACAAACATAAAAAAAAACCGTGAGTTGGGCGAGCCCTACGAGCGGCAAGCGCTCCATGTCGAGGGTGGTGAGTTGGTCGACCCCGAGTCTTGCTTTTGGCTTCGTGGACCGCAGGGCTCGCCGATTTCGTTCAGGCTCGAGAGGCCCGAGCTGCTCAACTCGAGCTGCTTCGCGTATATCAGCAAAGCCCGCGCGCGCATGGTCGAGGTCGAGAGGCTTCGGCCGCCACAACGTGTGCCACTTCTTAGCTTTCTCTTCGACTATGTGTAAAAGGGCGAAAAAGCACGCGATCGTTAACTACTAGCTCATCAGGGACAGGAGGTACTTTACGCAGCGACTTATGTAGGATCCCAGGGGCCTCGGCAGTACAAATCCACTCACGACATTCCTCAAGAGAACTCCCCAGAGCCCGTCGCTTATCCCGTCCAGCCACTCGCTTGGCCGTGATGGCCATCCGGTTGAGCTCGTCTAAACTAGCGTCAGAGATGTTGAGTAACTTGCCATTGACTCCAAGACGACTGCATTTCATTCTCTAGACTGGCAAGCGGACCGTGCATAGCATCAGGCCGGTCGCTGGCAAGTGCAGAACATGTTAGGCGCAATTGCTGCTGCTGAACGAGTTCATTTTCGCGGGAACGGTAAATATGCAACCCGAGCAAGAACGGTGGCCAGACGACCCTTCCATAAGCAATCTGATCATGTAGAGGTTGCTCACGAACACGATTGGAAGCCTTGACCTCCGACATGACGAAACGCGGCCCTTGGCTTCGAGAAACTGTCACAGGAAGAGAGATCCCATGATGATGGATGATACTCTGCTCAAGAGCCTGAACCCAAGAAGAATGCGTGGCTCCTAGCCGTCGAATGAGTGGCCCCCCGACTGCGTGCGCTGCAGAGTTGGAGATGACGGGCCAGCCTTCCGAATGCTGGAGCGACTCCGAATGCCTCGCCTGCGCCCGTGCAGACGCCCAAAGGTCAGGAGGCGCGGAGAACGTGGGAGGGGGGGTGTGACCGCTAGCTGCCGAGGGGTCGGGGCTTAAGGCTGGGTCCCCCAAATATCCGAGAGACTGATTCAATTCGTTTGTACCGGTGGCTCCGTTGCTTACGGCGCCGACCTCGCTCGCAGCTGTGGGATCCACACTGGGCTGGCTACTGCACTGCACGGGGCTCGCAGCCGCTTCGGGCCGCGCGACAGGGCAACGGGGGACAGGGCATGCGGAGGTAGCGGCGACAGCCGCTGGTGAATCTAACAAATCGGGTGGGATAGAGTGCTCGTCAGCACTGCCGGGCCCGCACGTGTGATCATGATCGCGCTGTCCACCTGGCGTGGCAGACACATGAACAAACGCGGCAGCAGGGGCAGCCGATGCCTGAACAGGACGCGCGCCAGGGTCCGGCACGGCGGCTCGCTGGGTAGTCTCCGATGGCGACGAAGCTAAGTCTCCGAACGTCTCCTCGACTGCCTCTAGCTGCCGCGGGCCACGGCGCGCTGGGCCTTGGCTTGGCTGGACTTGGAGCCTGGCGTCGGCTTGGTCTGTGGCCTACAGAGGGGGCCCATGCCAAGAAACGGCCTGCTTGCCTCCAGGGTTCCCTGGGTTTCTTGGGTTTCTTGGGTTTCGATGGTTTTGCTGTGGAAGGCGTGGCGTTCCCGCACCAAAAATCGATGGACGTCCTGGGGTCTCAGGGTTGGGTTTCTTGTGGAAGGCTTCTTGTGGTCGGGCTCCTACTAGGCCCTACGCCGTAGGCGCCCGAGGCAGGCGGGCGGCCACGGCCAGCTCCCGACAGAGGCTGGCAGCCCGAGCTCCGAGGGCGCACCAAGTGCGCCACAGGTGTGGCTTCCACGGGGCCGCCAGCACCGCCTCACCGCCGACGCCTGCGCGATGTAGGGCACACGCACACGAACAGCTGGCCATGACATAGTCAAGCTTGCCACCCTTCTCCGACGTGCACGTGTGCTCGATATCAGGCGTGCAAATAACGACTACCACCTCGATAGAGCCCTTGCTGATGGGCACGCTGGGATCGAGATTGAAATCCCCGATGACGAACCATGGTGAACGCAGCTGCGTGACAAACGCTCCAGGCTTGGCGAATCGAAGAAGATGCCTGCCACTGAGGCCCTCGGAGGAGAAGCTGTAGAAGCTGCTGGCCGCCACCGAGTAGCCGTGCATGTGGATGATCCCGACCAAGAAGCCATCGTAAGACGAAGTCCGTGGGGAGTGACCGCGTCGGACGCAGTAAACCGCGGAAGTTGGAGGTGTTGACGACACACATCCGTTGGCGTCTTTCTTCGTTGGCCCTGTCCTTCGTGGCACTGGACTGCTTGTGCCCTGTGGGCCCTGCTGCGTTGTCGATCAGCTTGGGACGAGCATTGCTAGCCTGGCCCTTCCAGTGCTGCAGCTCGCTGGTCGGCTCGATGTGAGTCTCAACTAGACAAGTGTAGTGAAACTTCGCGCATGCTGGGCCAGTGATGAAGTCCCAGGCCTGCTTGCCCATAGCTGTGACGTTGCCGAACAAAGGAAAGAGTCCGACTCCTGCTCGGAGCCCGAGAAACCTTCACGGATGACAGACTGCTGACCACCGCTAGTATTAGAATTTGCTCCTGGTTGGTGAGCACGGGGGCTACATAAACCCTGAACTGAGACCAGACGAAGATGAGGAGGTAGGACGGGTCTCGAAACGCTCTCGAGCCTGCCGACCTGCTGGCATCGGCCGCTGCCCGCGCTGCCGCCTGCTTGGCCGCGCTGAGCTTGAACGGTGCCGCCTTGATGCGCTCCTGGTTGACAGCCTCGCTGCTGCTAGCCGCCGCCGCCGCGCTGCCGCCGCTGGCCTGGCCCGAAGCCTGCGCGCCTCCTGGGGCTACTGGCTCGGCCGACCGCTCGGCAGGCGCCGCGGCCCTGCGTCCAGCGTTTCGATCTCATCGAAGAACTTTTCGTTCCACTGGATGGGGAAGAGAACGTCTTTTTTGTCACTGACGACGGAGGGACCACTGGGGATGACACCGACCTTCTTGCCAAGCGTCGCAAGCTTCCTGGCGTCTTCGGCGGCCTCCTTTTTGGCAATGTTGAGGCGATGCCGCTGGAGGGCGGCGATGGCTTGGTCGTGCCTCGGCGCGGCGTCTCGAACTGCACCGTTGGCCTCGGTCAAGGCGTCCTCGGGGCTGAGCGCCGTCGCACCGTAGGGGGCGTCCTTCAGCGCCCTGATCTGCGCCACGAGGGACCGCTTGAGCAGGGGGTCGGTGGTGACCTCCAGGGCCTTCTCCAGCGCGTCAGTGTGATCGGACTGAGGACCTGCCGGCGAGCAGCTTAGCACCTCCCTTCGCCTCCTGCTCCTGGCCAGCTCCTGGCCCTCCGTGCTGGTGTAGAGCTTCACCTTCCCGTTGCACTTGGCGCAAACCCTGCTTGCGGCGATGAGCACGCTGTGGTACTCGTGACGCCCGCAGCCTTTGCACGTGCTCCAGCGGCCCTTCGCAGACACGATCCCTCTTTGCCACCGAGAAAGGCGGCCCGAGGCTGCTGGGCTGTTGCCTCGGAGCCCCTCAGGCGCCTCGTGAAGGCGAGGGCCTGGACTCAAGAGTCGCCAAAATTGGGACTCTCGAGCCAGAGCTTGAGAGGAGGAGGAGGAGGAGGAGGAAGAGGAGGAGGAGGAGGAGGATGGTGATGATGATGATGCTGCTGCTGCTGATGATGATGACGACGACGATGATGATGATGATGATGATGATGATGATGATGATGATGATGATGATGATGATGATGATGATGATGATGATGATGATGATGATGATGATGATTATGATGATGATGCTGCTGATGATGATGACGATGATGATGCTGCTGCTGATGATGCTGATGATGATGATGAAGATGATGATAAGGAGGAGGAGGAGGAGGAGGACGAGGAGGCTGAGGAGGAGGCAGACGTGGGGGCGGAGATGGAGGTGGAGGTGGAGGTGGAGGAGGTGGAGGAGGAGGATAATGCTGCTGCTGATGATGCTGATGATGCTGATGCTGCTGCTGCTGCTGATGATGCTGATGCTGATGATGATGATGATGCTGCTGCTGCTGATGATGATACGATGATGCAATGATGGTGGCGATGATGATGGTGGTGGTGGTGGGTATGCTGAAGGTGACGATAACGATTACGACGGTGATGATGGCGACGATGATGCTGATGAGGATCGTCGTGGTGGTGGTGGTGGTGTTGATGCCGATGCTGGTGATGGTGGTGGTGATGGGTGTGTTGGCGATGGTGGTGATGATGGTGATGCTGCTGACGATTATGGGTGATTCGCATGATGACGACGGCGACGACTCCGACGACGATGATGATGATTATGATGATGGTGGTGATGCTGATTTTGATGATGCTGATGCTGATGATGATGATGAGGATGTCGATGATGCTGATGATGATGATGCTGCTGATGGTGATGCTTCTGATTATGATGTTATCGATGACGATGATGCTGATTATTTCGATCATGGTGATGATGATGCTGCTGATGGTGATGATGCTGAGGATGATGATGATGACGATGCAGATTCTGCCGATACCGATGGCGATTATGCGGATGATGATGCTGATGATGCTGATGATGATGTTCATGATGATGCAGACGATGGTGCAGATGGTTGGGATGATGAGGATGATGGTACGGCTTCGTGTGATGACGATGATGATGATGACGATGATGATGCTGCTGCTGTTGTTGCTGCTGATGACGATGACGATGACGATGCTGATGCTAATGCGGATGACCATGATGATGCTGATGTTGATGATTGTGATGCTGATGATGCTGATGATGATGATGATGTTGACATTCATGCTGATGTTCATGATTGTGTTGAAGATTGTAATTTGATGACGATGATCATGATCATGATCACGATGGTGATGAGGAGTGTACTGCGGATCATGATGATGACGAGGATGATGCTGATGCTGATGATGACGACGCTGCCGTTTCTGATGATGGTGATGATAATTATGAGGATGATGCTGCTGGTGATGATGATGATGATGACGTTGTGTATGCTCATGATGTTCATGATGATGCAGATCAGGATCGCGGTGGTGGTGGTGTTGCTGCCGATGCTGGTAATGGTGCTGGTCATTGTGGTCGTGGTGGTGTGTGTGTTTGCTGGCGATGATGGTGATGATGGTGATGCTGTTGCCGACTATGCGTGATTCGGCTGATGATAACGACGACGAAGATGCTGCTGCTGATGATGATGCTGATGAGGATGATGATGACGACTACGACTATGGTGATGCTGGTGCTGCTTATGCTGAATATTGTGATGATGATGGTGGTGATGATGATGCTGATGCCGATGACGATGGCAGTGATGATGATGACGATGATGCTGATGATGATGTTGTTGATGATGATGATGATGATGATGATGATGATGATGATGATGATGATGATGATGATGACGAGGATGATGATGATGATGATGATGATGATGATGATGATGATGATGGTGGCGTGGATGATAATGCAGATGATGATGATTATGTTGATATTGTTGCTGCTGTTGATGATGGTGATGATGCTAGTGGGACTGGTGATGATGAGGATGGTTGTGATGATGATGATGATGATGATGATGATGATGATGATGATGATGATGATGATGATGATGATGAGTATGATGCTGCTGCTGATGGTGGTGGTGATGATGATGACGATGCTGATGTTGATGCTGCTGATGATGATGGTGATGATGGTGATGCTGATGATGATGCTGCTGACTATGATGATGATTATGTTGATTATGATGCTGATGCTGATTATGATGATGACCATTCTGATACAGATGATGGTGATGCTGAGGGTGATGGTTCGGCTGCTTGTGATGATGATGATGATGACGATGATGATGATGATGACGATGCTGATGACTACGACGAAGATGGTGCTGATGATGAGGGGGGGGAGGAAGAGCAGGAGGAGGAGAAGGGGGGGGAGGAGGACGAGGAGGAGGAGGAGGAGCAGGAGGAGGAGCAGGAGGAGGAGGAGGAGGAGGAGGAGGAGGAGGAGGAGGAGGAGGAGGATGGGGGAGAGCAGAAGGAGGGGGAAGGGAGGAGGAGGGGGACGAGGGAGGGCGGGGGCGAGTCTGGCTATCACCGGGGTGCTGGCCGCCCCGAAGGTGGACGCGACCACCGTCTCCGCCAACTTCGACGAGACGCACCTGGAGTCCGACGTGCTCAAGCTGGTGGCCGGGAGAGCGCCAGTTCTCCGAATGGAAGATTGTCTAAGGGCCGTCGGCCCATCCCGCCACCGTGCCTGGGTTACGGGTATGGAGCCTATTGGATCTTCGTTGGGGTCTCGTGGGAGGCTTCTCGGGGGCATCTTGGAGGCAGTGTGGAGGCCTCTTGGGGGCCGTTTGGGGGCCTCTTGGGGCCTCTTTTGGGCTTCTTGCAGGCCTCTTGGGGCCTCTTGGGAGCCTCCTGGGCGCCTCTTGGGGCCTCCTGGGGGCCTCTTTGGGCGGAAGGCTCGGATTTTCGGTTCGTGTTCCATCTATTGGGCCCCTTTTGGGCCGTCGTGGGGCCCTCTTGGGCCGTTTTGGGCACCTTTTGGACTGTCTTGTGGCCGTTTTGGGCCGTTTTGGGGCCCTCTTGGAGGCCTCTTGGACCGTCTTGGGGGTCTCTAGGGCCGTCTGGGAGCGTCGGGAAGCCGAAAAGGCGAAAACGTCAATATCGTTTGAAACCCTACGGAAAATCAATGGTTTGGGCCTCTTGGGGCCCTCTTGGGAGGCCTTGAGCGTCTTGGAGCGATCGTTCGGCGACTCGCGGCCCTCTTGGATCGTCCTGGGGGCCCTCTCGGGGCCCTCTTGGTCCGTCGGGGGCTCCAAGAAGTCACGCGACACGATTCGGGGGAGCCCATGGGGCACGCGGGAAGTCCCAGAGGGCACGCAGGAAGTCCCGGGAGATGGTTTTGGGTCCGGGCCCCTGAAAGCATCCTTGGGAGTGAGGATTGAGGCTTAGAGGATTGGGCCCAGGACCTGAGGACACGCCCACGCCGTTCCCGGCGGCACGGTGGCGGATAGGTAGATGAGGACGATGACGTAATATAGCAATAACATGTTGGCCAGCGTCGACCCCAAACAGCGAGTTCTTTCAATAGATGCGGTGCAATCTAGTTGGTGCAATCAATGTGGTGCAGTCTAGGTTGTGCCATCCATGTGGTGCAAAGCGGTTCAAAGCCTTACACATGCCATGGAATGAGCGCTTTCTGCCGCTGCTGGCAGTGGGGGGTTGACACCTGTTAGAGTGACCAATGCCGGCGAACTGGTACCGATCCTAGCCGCCTGGGGCCAATCGTAGCTGCGTGTGGTTTCGACTAGGGCCAATTCCGGCTGCTCTTACACATTAACCATAAGTCAACTACATCTGGCATATTCCAGAACTGCATGAATATGCTTGGGGACACCCACTTGCACTTTCCATCTTCCATCGCCGGAATTTGTCCTTGTTGTTTTGCGATTATTGGGGGCCTTATGTGAATCGTATGCGAGTCTTCTGTCAACCGTATTCGAATCCTATGTGGTTTGCTTATGATTCTAATGTATACGACTCTGATGCGAATCGTACACGATCCAGAGGTGAATCGTTTGCGATATCCGATGTGCATAATTCCGCTGTGAATCGTACCCGATTCCTTTCTGAATCGCATACGGTCTCTATGTGTATCCTCACGATCCCGGTGTGAATCGTATACGGTCTTACGAGAAACATATACACATCTTACGTGCATCGTATACGATCCTTGCGTGAATCGCATACGATTCCTATGTGCAGACGACTCCTATGTGAAACGTACACGGTGCTTGTGTGAGTCGCATGCGGTTCCTATGTGAATCGCGCACGGATCCAATGTGAAGCGTATTCATCCCTATCTGGGTCGTATACGATCCCTGTGTGAATCGCATACGGTTCCTATGTGAATCGTTTACGAATCCTGTGTGAATCGTGTGCGCTTCCTATGTGAATCGTAAACGATTCCTATGTGCACCGTATGCGATTCGTATGTGCGTCGTATACGCTTCCTATGTGGATCGCGTGCGATTCCTATGTGCATCATATACGAATCCCATGTGAAACGTATAGGATCGTACCCGACGCCTCTGCGAATCGTATATGTTTCCTATGTGAATCGCGTACGTCTCCAATGTGAATCGTAGACTCATCTTGTGTGAAACGTAGGCGCGGGCTATGTGAATCGTATGCTGTTCTTTGTGTGAGTCGTGTACGGTTTCAATGTGAATCGTTTACATTCATGTCCTACGTGTGTTGTATACGATCCCCTTGTGAATGGCAAACGGTTCTTCATGTGAATTGTGCACAAATCCGACATGAATCATAAACGATTCTTATATGAATCGAATACGAATCCTGTGTGAATCGTGCACCGCTCCTATGTGAATATTATACGCTTCCTATGTGAATCGTGTACGTCTCCAATGTGACTCGTAGATTAGTTTTGTGTGAAACGTACACGCGCGCTAGGTGAATCATATACGATTCTTCAGTGAATCGTGATCGATTTCGGTGTGCATCGTATACGAATCTTATGTGAATCGTATACGAATCCTGTGTGACTCGTGCACGATTGCAATGTGAACCGTAGGCGACGCCAATGTGAATCTTATACGCGCGCTATGGGAATCGTATACGAGTCTTGTGTGAATTTTGTACGGTCTCAATGTGAATCATTTACAGTCATGTGAACCGTATACAGATGCTACCTGTATGGTGTACGTTTTCTGTGTGAATCGCAGATGGTTCTTCTGTGAGTTGTGCACGAATCCGATGTGAAACGTATACGATCCCGATGTGGGTCGTATGCGGTTTCTGTTTGAATCGTAGACGATTCCCATGTGATTCGCATGCGAATGTTATGTGAATCGTGAACGGTTCCTATGTAAATCGTCTACGACTCCTATGTGAGCCGCATGCGCTTCTTATGTGAGTCGTATGCACGTCCTATGTGGAAGCCATGCGATTCCGATGTGCATCATATGCGAGTGCCGGGTAACACGTATACGATCGTATCCGACGCCTCTGTGAATCGTATACGCTACCTATGTGAGCGGTATGCGTCTCCAATGTGAATCGTAGACACATTTTGTGTAAAACGTGCGCGCGTGCTATTTGAATCGTATGCTGTTCTTGTGTTAATCGTGTGCGGTTGCAATGTGAATCGTTTGCAGTCATGTGGAACGTATACGGGTCCTACGTGAGCAATGCCGAGCAATTCAAAGCAATGTGAAACAACGCCAAACAATGCAAGCGGGCGGCGGCAACGGGCCGCGACGGGCGGCGACAAGCCCGCAGGACCGCCAGCCAGGCCCAAGCGGGCGGCGGCGACGGGCGGCGACAAGTTGGCCGGGCCGCCAACCAGGCCCAATTCGTTAGAAGACAACGATGAAGCCATAAGTCCAAGCATTGTTTGGGGGAACAAAATGAACCCGGCGAAACTCCAATGAGGAGATTGTTTCGCGTGGTTTTTCATTGCGTTGCTTTGCTTTGAAGTGCTTTGCCTTGCTGGCTGCTTGGCATCGCTTGACATTGCTTGGCATTCCCTTCCGTTGCTTGGCGCTTGGCGTTGCTTGGCAACCTGGGGAACGCCTCTTCAAAAAAAAAACAGGGAACAAGACCAAGGAACCCGCAGAACCCGGGGATCCCGAGCGAGGCCACCCTTTCAAAAATGAACCCGGCGCGACCCCAATTAGGGGAAAGTTTTCTATTGCGTGGGCGCAGTGCTTGGCATTGCTTGGTATTGCTTGGCATGGCTCGGAACGGGCACACCAAGAATACGAGGCACCAGGGGCGGGGAACCCGGGGAACCGGGGGAACCCGAGGAACCCGGGGAACTTGGGGAACCCCGGGAGCGCGAGGAACCGGGGGAACCTGGGGAATTGGAACCCCGAGGAGTCCAGGGAACCAGAGGATCCCGGAAAACTCGGGGAACCCGGTGAACCCAAGGAGCCCAGGGAACCGGCGGAATTTGGGGAACCCGGTGAAACCATGGAACCTCCGAGCAACGGGCAAAGGAACCCCCCGCGGGGCACCAATTTTTAACCAAGTAAGGACCCCTGAGTCACGCGAAAGGAGCAGCAGGGAAACAAGACCAACTTCGCCGGCCCAACGGGCCAGAGGCGTGCTAAGATCTCCGGTAACTGCTTTACAAAAATTCTACTTCGCGCGCGCGGGGCGGCCCCTGCAGGGTCCCCGGACGAAAAGTACCCCGGGCAGGTCCCGGGCGACTCGGGTCAGAGATGGTTTTCTTCCTGGGCGCCGCCCTCGAGGCCGCCCAGAGAGCCCCAAGAAAGGCCAAGAGGCCGCCAAGAGTCTCTCAAGATGATACAAGAGAGCTCCGAGATGCCACAAGATCGCTCCAAGACGCCCAAGATGGCCCCAAGACGGCCCAAGAGGCCTCCAAGAGCACTCTCAAGAGGGCCCCACGAGTCATTGCATTTCCATCGGTTTTGGAGAGATTTTGACGTTTTCACCTTTTCGGCTTTCCGACACCCCAGGACGGCCCAAGAGGCCCCCAAGACCGCCCCGAGAGGGCCCAAGAGGCCCCCAAGAGGGCCCCAAGACGGCCCAAGAGGCCTCCAACACGGCCCAAGACGGCCCCAAGAACGCCCCAAGAGAGGTCCCAGGGGGGGAACACGAAACAGGATTTCGAGCCCTAGGCCCTAAGAGCACTCTCAAGAGGGCCCCACGAGTCATTGCATTTCCATCGGTTTTGGAGAGATTTTGACGTGTTCACCTTTTCGGCTTTCCGACACCCCAGGACGGCCCAAGAGGCCCCCAAGACCGCCCCGAGAGGGCCCAAGAGGCCCCCAAGAGGGCCCCAAGACGGCCCAAGAGGCCTCCAACACGGCCCAAGACGGCCCCAAGAACGCCCCAAGAGAGGTCCCAGGGGGGGAACACGAAACAGGATTTCGAGCCCTAGGCCCTAAGA